ATTACTATCCAGCCGATACTTATTTAACCGAAACGCTTCTTTTTTTTTTCGTTCGTTCTTCATTTTTTTTTTTTTCGTTTTTGGATACGTTTATCATAGATGATTGCACGGAGTGTCTCACTTATAACGAACGTCTAAATTATTATGCTCGTACGGTGCAAGGACCCATGAACGTCCTGAAGTTCGTTGCAAGGTCGACGATATGTTTTTCGCTTTTCTTTCATTTTTTTGGAGGCATGTTGATCATGGATCATTGTGCAGGATGTCTCATTTATGGTGGAAATCTAAATTATTTGCAGTATTAGTGAAAGTAAGAAAAAATGACTAAGAGGACTTTATATAGTTTAACCCCTTAACACGTTAAGCGCGGCGTCAGTCCGTGGTGACTGACAGTGAACTTTTCGTTTAAGGAGCGTCGATCCGTGGGGACTGACATTGAACTTTTCGTTTAAGCGGCGTCGGTCCGTGGGACCGGCAGTATCATGTTTAAAAAATAAATGTTACGCACGTCTGCTTCTTTTTTTTTTGCAATTTATGAACACTTCTTCTATCAACCCGGATTGGTATTTCTTCGTCTGAATTTATACTCTACAGAAAACAGAGCGAAATCGGCTCCGCGCTCAAAGTGTTAACCTATCTAAGCGTCAGCCATTTACCGTTTCGGTACTGTATCAGGTAGCAAAAGCTACTCTGTTACAGATTAATCACACTTGGTAATCCACAGTTTTACAAATTGAAACGAAAGTTGGGATTAAAGTTAATTATTTCTTTCTCACATCATTACCAGAATCTCTGCCACGAGTCTGACACTGTTATAGATCAATGAGTTAAGAACCCAGGATCATTCCAAAAATGTGTTTAAATCGGAAGAATGAAAAAAATAACGAAGCAGTGAAAATAATAAATCAGTCGTTCGTTACAAGTGAATGACACGGTAATGAAAGGGTTAAAACGTTCTTCCGCCCAACTTCTCATCTCTTCAGTGGATCTTTTCCACGAAAAGAAAGAAGAAAAGCAATATCGAAGGCGCGCATGCGTCTATCAGTCACATTGTTCCAGCAAGTGGAAGCCTCTGGGCGCCAATCTGTGGTTATTAGAGGCGCGTTATTGCGCCGCTGGTATTACGTGGCAATAAACGGTGGATTTTAATTGCCCGTTCTATAAAACGTTCCCGATGAAGACGTTTCATGCTACCGGTCGTTCGTCAGACGGCGAAAAATTACCTCTCTCCCTCTCTCGTGAATCATCGCGATAACGATCCACTTTTCCCGTGGATTCGTCGTATTTCATTATTTATTCGATCCTAGGCTACCCCCTACTCGCCGAGTGATAAAGCGAATAATAAAGAGTTTAACCGCTACTGAAATTCTTGATGTTTCAATTGAATTTCAAACGGAGCGTAAAACGCCGCTAACCATCTTTCTGAATACATGTACGTGTATCTACGTGTGTGTGTTCAATGTAGGATGATAGGTGTGTGTGTGCGCGCGTGTGTCTGGCCGTTTATTATGCCACCGGGGGAAATTACGAACGCGGCCTGCGGCCGTGGCGGTAGCGAAGTGTTCGCGGGAATATACGAGTCGCGGCAGGAAATGAACGTCTGCCGCGAAAACTCGCTGTTTTCTGTGCCCGAAGTACGGCCAACAGCTGGGAAACTTTCTGATAAACTAAGGCCACTCTCCTGGCATGTATCTCCCTTTAATCTCGATACTTTCTGCCACGAATTAGCCGGATTTCTGCGGCTGCCACGGTTCTCCATAATGGCGGCGATGATATTTCGCGATAAGCTGCCGCTTGGGATCGAAATTTCTGAGGAAGCGAGGTATTCTTCGCTTTGATATTAACCCCGTTGAGAGATGAGAAATCCCTATCCCTAGATATCCCTAAATCAGGAAATCTCTGATTTTTCAGAAGAAACGAGTCAAGACCGTATCTCTCAGATCACAATTCTCTCCTTCAAATTTCACTCTTCGTTTTCTAATCAGCTCTCTACACTCACATTTTCTCACCCCTCAGTGACCCACTTCTTTCTCTTAAGAATTTATCTATCGATCATCGTGTCTGTAACAAACACCAAATTGAGATCAATATCCGATCAACCGGGTCACATATGACCCACACCGGTCACGAAAGGGTCAAATCTAACCATACGTCCGACCGGTTCGATGGTAGCCTCCCATCCAGAACCAGGAGCAAATTTACGAGTCTAAACCGTTTTCGTGCCGAAGGATCGTTCCGTTCGAGGGGGTTAGCCGTTCCCCTCCCGAACACCAGGACACATTGTTTCCCACGTGAACGTGGAAGGTAAGGATGGCCTGTATCGCGGAGGGCAGGCTTACATTTCTGCATCGGCAATTTGCATGACCGATGATCGAGCACTGTGGTGCACCGGCGGTGGACTAGGTGCATCGTCATTACGCACTGGCCAGATACGATCAAACTGTCGGTAATGATAGTCGCGCGACCCGGCGCACGTACGACGAACGCCAGGGTCGCGTTTATTAAATTACGTCAAATTATTGGTACGCTCCGAGGGTCGATTATCGGGGCTGCTCGTTCCGACCGCCATGGATCGTTCTCCTTTTCCCCGATTGCCACGCCGCGCGCGCGTAGCTGCGTGTGGTAGCTGAGATCTTCATGCTCTTGGACACGGCTCTTTGCTCATCTACCAGCGGGTCTAGGAAAGGGTAAAACGGGCTTGCCAACTGCTTTAGCCACGAGGGTTACGCGGGGTGAAACTCGAGGGAAAGTTCGATTCGATGGTCGAGGAAAGGATGCTTCTCGGTTAACCATTTCGCTCCGGCAGCTTTCTTTTTCTATCGACGACTCAATGATGATGCAGAGAGTCTTCGGGAAGCAGGCTTGCGTTTTCTGTTCTGTGAACTTTGTAGTGAAGTTTGTTGCAGTAATTGGACGGTTTTCTTTTGTATGCGATCCTCGTAGCGAAAGGGATAACCCTTTCGACTCCTTTGTCGAGTGTGACTCGACGTCAGTTTTATTCACAGGTATGAATGAAGTAATTTTTAAAATGCCAGTTTAAATATGTACTATATTTTGCAATATTTGTTTACCTAGACGAGCAACAGCACACATATATGACCCTTAGTGCTATTTTCAATATCGTTTAAATTGGTTCCTATCAACGAAATGTCCTTTCAAGTGCATTTCAAATAAAATTCTTAAAATAATAGGGAGTTATTGAAAAGAAAATTTTTTAAAAAAATTTGGAGTTCCAAGGGTTAATGAAAGGGTTAAACAGACGTACACTGCTATCTCTCCTTCGCTGGTTAGCACATCCTTTCACGCTCAAAATGAAATTGAACAGTGCGACAGGAAATATCAGATTTTCCCGAGAGAAATGTTTTATCTTCAAATTCTCCAATAGTAATTTATCAGAAATTATGGGAACTTTAAACGAAGTAATCGCTTCAATTATCAAACCTTCCAAAAATAAATCTCCAATTTTCTACTTAAAAAATTCCAACCCTCTCCCTACTCATTTCCATAGATCACTTTAACAACCATCAAACTAAGATTTACTTTTCTATTTAGACTAACTTTGCTCAAAAATCGTATAATTAACGGAGAAACGGCTTTCTGCTTGCAGATTCGAACCGACGAAGGGCTGAAGAAGGCAAAGAGCGGTCCGGATGGGGCGTGATGGATCTCCGATGCCTTCGACAAATCAAAACTCGTAGCCAGAGCTGAAGCAACGACGGAACGACGGGCCAAGTGTCCGTCGACGATCCCACCATATTGTCCCTTTCATTTTTAGAATTCGTAGCAGCCGCGAACGAACGTCCGAGGATTTTAAAAAACCGTCGGATCGCTAGAAGGAAGAGAGAACGCTGCGTGCTTTCTGCGACTGTCGATCGAAGCTTTGGAATCCAACTTTCACACCTCGAAGAGGCGCGACTAAGCTGTGACGACGAGGTTGACTGGATTGAAGATCTAGGAGGATCTCTGTGGCTGTAGAATAGAGCGAAGTCCGAGTTTCTGGCACGTTTAACCGAAGTAACGATAGGATTGTAGTTAGCGAAAGGAAAGGACGAGATAATTGTGAAGGATCCGGAGGACAATGTTGCGAATGAATATATTTGATTTTTCCACGAGAGAAGAAGAATCGTGCGATTTTTGTCAGAGCCTAACATTCTGCAAGATTGACCTACCGTGTGCCTTCGTATTTTTGATACAAGCCTGAAGAAACTCGGAGAAACGATTTAGGAAACTCCAAAGTCTGAGCGACCGTTGTCCCGCTGCAGAGTCCTCGAGTGAAGCTTGGTCCTTCGAGTTCCCAGCACGTGGAGGATGCGTACAGAGAGAAATTTACGAGACGATAGAGCAGACTCTAGAAATGATCCATCTATGGATGATATTTCTATGGACTCGAGAGAAACGGAAGAAGAAAAATATGGCGAAGATAGTAAGACAGAGGACGGAAGTGGACGATGAATTCGTTTTCCGGAAGCGCCTCTTGCGAAGCGAAGCGAGAAGAGAGAAGAAAATCACCCAGGCACACGTTTAGCAGAGAGATTCACGCTGACACGCGCCGTTAGTTTAATCTAATAGGGAGCGTAGTTAAGGATTTACGAATGCCATAATAATGACCAACTTCTTGTGGTTGTACTTAAGTCATACCTTTACACTTTACTGTTTACGTTTAAGGCCAATTAAGTACGTAAGTTGCATAATACTTCACTATTCGGGGAGTGTCTTCGAATTAATTTTGCTAGGCATCTCTACTCTTCTACATCCTCTTTTTTCCCCTTTGTTTGTTCGTTTTTTTTTTCTTTTTTTTTTCCTCTAACTTCGATGGTTCCCGGTACCGAAAGATTCCGTGAGACGACGATATCAGTCGTCGACACGCCTGGACAGAGGCAATTAACGAATTGTAATTTCTCAAAAAGATAGAGCCCCACGCTCCTCCGTTCGGAGCGAACGAGAGCTTGACAAATCGCCGAGTCGTCTGTCACGGTTCTTGTACGAGGTTCGACGAACGTTCTACCTGTTACTTACTGGATCGTTTTGTGCCACGAACCGGTGAGAATATTAACGAGGTGTACCCTTGAGACTTTCGTCTTTTCTTTCTTTCACCGTCGGTCAATTATGGGGAAAAAATTTGAATGGATAATCGATTGGTTCTACGATTGTTAATGCGTTCAACTACTCTGTCCAAGCGTTTCAAAAGAACGTCGACGAGAGGCCTGTGACACCCGAGATTGCGCAAATGGAACTGCTTAACGAACACTTTTATCGGAAGTCAGGTATCGAGACCGCCTGTCGGTTAATGGTCCCGGCCAGATCCCGTGCCCTGGACCTTGGTCTCACTTTTGTGATTATTATTTAAGTAGATGCTAAGCGTACGTTAGGTTAGGTTAGGCTTTTTACAATGTTTCACCCTGTGTCCATTGGAAATTACCGTTTCTTTTCTCGTCAATAAAATTTCACGAGTGAAAACCGATCGAGAATCATAGGAGGAATGTGAAACATACCTACGAATACTATTCGAAGCTATAACAATAATAATAGAGCTCGGGGATTTAAAAAAAGTTCAAGCGAGAAAGGAGTTGTGCATTTATACGATTCAAATATCCCGCCAAGAACGACCATTACCCCCTCCAGCTCTCGCGGAGGCGGAACGAGATACAGCCGGAAGCGATTTGTTTCGAACGCTGGTTTGATAAAACGAAAAGAGAGAGAAAAAAACAACACCGTTTCACGATAAGACACACACGTCTCTTAATCCGTACGTGGTACTAGCTCTTACAGTTCTCTGTAACATAAGTTTCTCTAGTTGTAACGTTAAGAAGGTGTAGATTTCCGATTCTCATGATAAACATTCTATTTTGCGTAATGAATCTGAGTAAGAAGACACTCGGTCCCCCTTACGATGGAACTCTGTGCGCTATAATCGTTCAATTTAAACCAAGAACGAGTATCCCGTATGTCGACGTTCGCCGAGATTTTGCCAGGAGAACAGATTACAGTGCTGCCAGTGTTTACCGCGTAAAACACCCTAACCTTACACTCCATTCGTCGCATACGGTGTTATTTCCAAGCTTTATTACGTACCTTTATCCATTCCTCGTTGTTCCCTTTATTCTCCGTTAAGTCTAGTTCTTCACAGGGCATTGGATAAATCAATTGTCCGCGTCTTTCACGTTGCATTTTCAATCGACGTGAAATGACGTTTAATCGTCGCGAGGCGTATGGTTCGTGTTTTCATGGCGAAATGCTCGTTGCGTAAGGGTCGAGGATCGTTGTGCCTTCGAGTGCACACGTTCGAATGATACGTTTAACGATCGTAAGAAGAGCAGACATCCACTTTGTGATTCCGTAAGCAGTTGTTTAGTGTTTTTTTTTTTTTTATACTTTCCTTAATGCTTATCTAGGATAGCTTGTGTACCCTAAAGAGTGTTTCAATAAAAGTGACAATGAAATCAATTCCGTTCCCGTGTTTCCTTTTAGCAATCGAACGAACTTTGTTCCTTGAAATTGTCCGCTTTCCGTTTGAATGTTTCGAGTATCGAACAGTTAACCTTCGATACTCGATTCACCGCCTGAGGGCGTCTAGTTGTAGTATGCTAGTGAAAATGGCCGCCGTGCGCGATACAAATTACTAGCTTGTCGTGACTTTAACTCGTAGTTTTTACTGGATGTTTTAAGCAAATAGTGCCGCTTTTACGCGAATCATTATCGCCAAAGACTCATAGACATGGTGTGTGATTGTGTACGTTCGCTTTTATTGACAATTCGAGATAATAGTGTGGGGTTATGTGCGATGGAGTAGTCGGGAGTTAACGTTTTTTAGCGGGTACGATGATGAAAAAAATCGGGAATATGGCACCGCGTTACAAAAGAGTCGTTTTATGTCGCGGTTCGTCGGAAAAGACTGACTCGCAGGAAGCTTATGTTAAAACGTTGAAAACGGCAGGTTATTTGTGCGACTTTTTGCCCACTTTGTGCTTCGAATTCGTGAATACCTCGGAGCTGCGAGCATGCCTTCTGTCGTCGTCCTCATATTATGGTAGTAACCTTACGAAAGAATTCTGCTTCTTTTACGTTTGTATTATTTTGATTAAACAACACATTCATAGGGCTCATACTGACAAGTCGACGAGCTGTGGAGGCGATTGGCCTTGCATCTGGAGAAGACAACGAGATTCTACATCCGTGGAGAACTTTGCCAGTGTATTGTGTAGGGCCAGCAACCGAATCGTTTGCTAAAAGTCACTTAGGTTCAGAGAACTGCATTGGTAAAGAGGCTGGTAATGCCAAAGAGTTATCGGAATTGTTAGTTGCCTCTGTTTCGAAGGAATCAAAGCCTTTGCTTTATCCTTGTAGTGACATTGGACGAGAGACGATAGAAAAGACTCTCAGTGGAAATGACATTAAAGTTCGTAAGATAGTTGCTTATAAAACTTTGCCTAGTCAAACTTTGGAAAGTGATTTGTCAAAATTAATGGACAATGTGCCCAAAATATTTGTTTTCTTTAGTCCGTCTACGGTAGAACATGTAATAGCTATATTGAAAAAAAAATCATACGAAATGAGCAATGTTAAAGCAGTTGCTATTGGACCTGTGACTAGGCAAGCATTAGTTGATTCTGGTTTAGAAGTATCTGCTACAGCAAGCAAGCCTGATCCAATGTCTCTGTTGGAGGCTATTAATGATGCTGAGAAAAATGAAGTTGCTGAAAAGTTTGAGTGAAGAAATTGGTGTGTTATTTTATTGTGTAAGTATATCATTGTTATTAATCCATTAAGACTTGATGTAATTTGTCAATATTAGATCATTAAGGAGCACGTAACCAAGAGGTGTAACAACATGGTCTCAATGGATTAACGTTTTTCATGTTTGCCATGTTTCTACATATTTATATTATTTATATGTAATTTATTCCAATAGAAACTTAGAGTATAGGTTATTAAATTTGACCAACTTATGGGTTCATGATATTAGCCAGTTTTATTTTTGTTATAACAATAAATATATCTTATTTCACTAAACATATGGATTAAAAAAATAAGGTTACCATCTATTTACAATATAACATATCTAGCTCTTATACAACACTAACTATACATTACTACATGTCATAAACTATAACATTGTTTACACTGTCAAAAAAATTTATATAATCAGAAACGTTATAACTTCCCTGTATAGAAAAGGGGAACTTTGAAATTTATTTTTTTACGATATACGAAAGCGATATACTACGCGAAACATTAACATTTAACATTCCGTTTTTATATTCGTGTACAGTGATAAAACAAAATAGTTTGTAAAGTTGTGCGTGTCAGTCTTTACCATTAATCTCTATAGGATTTCCTATTACTCCTTACAAAGGCGTGTGTATATGTGTGTGTATGTGAATGTTAAAAAATACTGTTTCTTACATAACACTTATACTCGGGACGATTGTTTTTCTTGTTCGCTACAACCTTTAACAATAGACTTTAGAACTCGTTAAAAACATTAATATCTACTTCGATTAACAACGTTACCAAGAAGGCACGAAATATCTGCACCGACGATCGTTGATTGATTAGCATAGTAAGGCTGAGGTGGGTTTCCTCCGTTGTTGTATTTCATTTGGACAGCGGTTTCGTAATCAGGCGCAGGTCTGTAGGACGGGAGTAAGGCACGTAAGTTGTTGATGTCAGTGGAAGATACGGACACGACAGGATATGGTGATGTGGAGAGATCGTTGTAACTGGTCCACCTCGTGTGGCCCTCCGCGTTTCTGTTGTCCAAATTTACCGATACCGCGTGATCACCCGAGTCGTTCGTGTCGCTGTCCTAAAATACGATACAGCATTTTTACTCGAACGTGTCCCTGGCATGATATTATGCAGCAATGAAATATTACTCACGAAATAGCCGTTGGTCGATCGCTCTATTGGCCGAGATTCTTGATGCTGCATGTAAAATGTGTGCTGCGCTATACACAAGCGCCACACATATTTTGCATTGCGTGACTCTGTGAATATGAATTGTTTTGGCTCCTCGCCCTCTGCTTGACACTCTATTCTGAACGTCTTTTTGTGATTGATCACATTACTTATGTCCTTCCACCTGAAGTACATTTATTTTATCGTTGTTTATCGATTTAGTATGTTTGTGGTATATTTTGTGAGATAATTACCTGTAGAATTGTGTCGTTTGTGTATTAGGATAAACAACCATGATCCCATTGATAGAAATTCCTAGTATCACCTCGTTGTTACCATTGTCCTGCAATTCAATAGATTTAAGTTCATTTTCGAATGTTGTGCGGAAAAGTGTGAACTTAATTGCTGGTACCTTAGTAGAGAATGTTTCATTTCCATAACCTTCTAGCTGCATAGCAATGGAAATGTAAAGTTCCTCTGCAGCAGCTTGAGTAACACCGACGAGATTCTTGTATTGGCATACAGCAGTATGCAAAAGAGAATCTTGGCCCCCAGGATCTGCCTGAATAACATCCTGAAAAAAAAAATTTGAAATAAATTGAAATAATCTACCTTCCTGTTAGTACTTCCTTGATTACCTTGGGGAACAATGTACATTGTTGCAAGCATTCCATTGTGTGCCTCTCTGCATCATAATTACCAAATTCTGCTTGCATTGAATAACTTGCTAATAGAGTAGCTTGCCTAGAATTGCACTGAAATCTACCTTCTAAGACATCACTTTTTAACTGAAGATAATAATGGTACCTGAGAATAAAATATTGAAAAAATAAATGACAATAAAACAGAAGCACAGAAGTGTCCAAGATTTTATCTACCTTGTCATTTCATCTTGAATAAGTTGCACATCTGTAACATAGAACATGACCCTCAGATAAAGGCTGAAATTTTTGGCCTCCTTTTCCAATTGTTTTTTCAATGGCTTATCCATGTCAACCCATTTTGGAGATGGAGAATCATGTCTTGAAATATATCTTAGACCAAAGAATTCAGGCTGTCCTAAGCCCAAGCGTTGAGTCACATTGTCCAAACATTCCTGACCAAGACTGTCAATGCTCAATGTGCACTCTATGGAAGTGGTGTCCAGTAGTTCAATGCAGATCACATACTGATTCTTTGAAACCACATTGTACTGTCGACTCTTCTTCAAATGGAATTTAAACGGCATTTTAATAACGCGAACTGGAAAAAAAAATAGCACAGGCACAAAGTTAAGTAAAATTATCGAAATGGAATTTTCCGCGCTTTTACGGCGTCGATTTTTGAAAAGTACTTTTGAATGAAAAAAATGATACTAGATATAATAATCTAACAACGGTAAAATAAGAGAACAACGCTGCAGCGATGCACTTTATTGCGACTATCTGAGGAAAGTAAATACTGTATAATTACGATCAAACACCGAAATATCTCACATTCCACGATACTTTTACTTTTAATTGAGATACATGTGCATACACGTACTGTATACATTCCACTCTGTCGAGCATGAGAAATGTATAATTTTTCACGACTAATAAATCGAAAGCATTTCTAACCTCGTTTTTCACGTCATTAATGCTAGTTACAAAACTGTGATATACAGTTCCTAAACCAGGCGTCCTTGACGCCGAATATTAAAACGATAAATTTTCCATTCAAGAAAAATAAAAGAAAAAGAGCGCTAAGAAGTGTACGTGAGATGGATCAAGTGCATAAAATGCATAAGAGAAGCGTATAGATTGCAAATAAAAGCAGTTTCACTGAAAGTGACGTGAGCTACAAACATTTTTTAACTAGACGCATCGCATTTTCTCTAATTAAACGAGACCAATTGCAAATAATACATTTTCTATTGAAAAAATCAATTGGAATTAGGTTCGAACTATCGGATGTTGTTTACATTATTTACAAATTGACGAAAATATCGACTAGAATTAAATACCACTAGATTCAGTTACCGAAGAAATTCCCTAGACTTTTCATTATGCATGTACTTAAATTCCTCGCACGTAATGTGTACACGATGACTAATGACCTTATCAGAATTAATCACGCGGCTTTTATTGCGAATGCCGTTATCACGTTTTATCGAAAACATTACGAATTTCACGATAACAGGAGCGTCACGTGTGTAAAATTCCACTCGCTAGAGTTTTTGCATCTTCCCTATGTTTCACTCGTAAAACATAAAGTTTCTATAATACAGGACAAAACAAACAACTATCACGCTTTAATATAATAAATATATTTTATAACAATCAACAAATTACTATTTCAGTACACACTCTAGTGTAGCATTCGTCTGAAATAATATAACATTGTCAACCTTTCTTTGTAAAACATCTTCTCGTCGTCTAGATAATTCACTGTCCGTTCGAGTCTTCGTTTCTATATCGAATAAAATTGCGTGGCGGTGGAAGACTGCATCTCTATTTGTCCCATTTTAAACTGTAATCGATGCAGCCATCTTAGTAGCGTGGCGTTCGATTCTCGACGAGACGAGGTGAAGTGCTCGGTCATTTTACTAGGCGGGTAATCGCGACAATTTTGCAAACGCACTTGCAAATTTCCTGGTAACTAATTTAAACAAATTATTTTCATTAAAATCATCGTTCTACAAAAAGATATATATTTTTTGTAAATTCTTCTTACCTGAATATGATGTGAATACAAAATTGGGCTCCAAAGAGGTAACAATTTGCTCAATAAAATAGACCCACACTCGAGAAGAGCTTCGAGTAGGCTCAAAAAATGCAAATTCACCATTTCAGCCAGCTAGAAATCGAAATTTTTCATGAAAATAAATTCTTCGATATTTTTCAACAAATTTTCACTTACAACTTTCGAATATCCAACCAATTCCAATATGCATGGCGTTATCTTGCCCCAGAATTCTAATAAAATATTCATCGTAACGTTATGACCCTCGCTGTTCGATGGATTATTCTTCGATAGTTCTTCCAAATACATCGTCCATAACTAAAGACAAAACATAATAAAGTTTGTATAATAATTTTTAACGGAGTATCGTCGAAAAATCGTTTCCATTCGATATTTATACCTGACACAGTATAAAAGCGTGGAACAAGGAGGACATATGCAAGACCGATGCCTTAGACTGTTCCGGGAACCCGGAGAATATAACTTGCACGTGATCCGCGACGTGGCAAGAGACTTCCTGCGGTATTGGTTGCGCGAGAGGGATCAATGTCCCGTGGGTGTGCGTATTGTTATTACCAGCGTACATCGCCATGTGCGTGAGAGATCCTAACAGTAGCCAAGATAATAATCTTATGTGCCCTATGCAGTCCACGTACTCTCGAGCCCTGTAAATTATATCCATTTCTGTATCTTTCGTTCTAATTAGTATCGGAAGATTAGTGAGCGGATCGATTGAAATGTTCGTCGCTTAAGTATTAACCCTTTGCGTAGTTTGTGTAATTTGCCTTTATCTCAATATTTCAGTGAAATATTAAGTAAAAAATATTAAGTTTCGCTAGAATATGAATGCATTAAAAAAGTGATTTATTGTCGTTTATGATTTATAATTTTTCATAGTGTGATATCTGAAGGCAAAAATTTCTAACCCTGCGCAAAGAGTTAAGAACTAGGTTTTTGTCATTTTTACTGAATAATGTGCATCATTTCTTTTCTCACATTGTACGGTAAAAATTACAAAGAGGTAGTAACAGTACTTTATTCGTGAATTTTTCAATAAGTCCTCGTAGGAGAAGATAATATTGTCGAGTTAGAAAGCTTAGGAACGATTCGACTAAAATTGACCCTCCAATTTTTAATGTATGTAATTATCAAGTAACCATGTGGCGGCAGCTTCTACGCTCCACCGCCAGAGGGACGTTACATTATCCTTTCTCACTAGTCCTCACGTGAGTCGCGTTCTAACTTCGAAATTAAAAGAATTTTGAATGAAAATCTCAATGATCGATCTTCGGCAAATATTAGAAGTACTCTCCTTTCTTAAGACACTCAATATTCTATAATAAAGTCTAATTCTCTGCAGTGTATCTGTTCCAAATCATCGTCGCTAATTATCGTTAAGAAAAATTAAATTTTCGAAAGAAATTACCCTTGTTGTATCGTCGAAGGAGCATTATAAAGCCACGGAAGATACCTAGCCACGGCTTTATTCTCCCTATTGTTGCCTTTCGTAATTTCCAGCGCTACATACTGGGCCAAACCACACTTCAATATTCCGCCTAATGTATCTTCGTTCAGTCCAGCTTGCATCCCCTTGCTGTAACTCTGAATCATCGATAAATAACATTTCATATCAACATCAAAAGTGATGGAATTAAATCTCGTTGGATATAATACGTATATAAGAAGTATCGTGAATAATAATTTCGTTTACCTTCACTTTGCTGAGCGTGTGAAAGTCAGCCAAGAAATCGAGCACGTCCGACAGCTGATTCTTCAGGGAGTCGGAGGCGTTCGTATTGCAAGCTGGCGATATGTCTCTTTGGACGTTCTCCAACGCGATCGTGTTGGGCAACGATCCTCCAATATCCTAAACATTCCATCGATCGTCGTGTAATTTATCTCAGGTGTCGAATTTCTAACGACGTGTCCGTTTACCTGAAGAATGAAGTGCAGCAACAGGAGAAAATTCGAGTCTGGTATAGTGGTCTTGAATTTGATCGCTTGAATCAGCTCGAACACAATTGTTCTGCCGAAGAAATGCTTGTCCCTGTCTCTGGTGAAGCCACGATGACAGAGAAAGCACAGGTCGGTCAGGTAGCTGTATTTTATCGTGGAATTCTGGATGGCGTAGCTCAACACCTTGGCGAATGGATCCAACATACCCTGTGAACGAAATTTATCTAAACATTTCTACAGTGAGAAAGACAGTTTTACATTTACGACGGAATTAAGCGGAATTCGAAGCTTGGAAGAGAAATATTCCACGATTTTAACGATGAAATCTTGTCTGGACATCTTTGAAATTGAAACATTGGAATTTTTCTGAGACTATTTCTCGAAGGTTTTATGTAAGCGAGAACCGGAGGATCGTAAAACGTAGACTCGTCACAGAACCACGTTGTAAATCAGTCCGAAACGAGTCGCGGCGATTGAAAATCCTGGATGGTTGGATCCGAGGCAGGACGAATAAATTGTGCGGCGCGTTTACGTCGTCCCCGGGTAACGACGAGGATCGCGCCGCGAAACGATAATGATCGCGAGGCGGCCACGACAGGTTATTTACGAGCATTGAACAGCTGACCTTCGATTGCTGGATGCCCGAGACCTTCAATAAAGAAATCATGATCCTTAATAACGGAGTGGTGTCCTCGATGGAGGAGAGCATCAGGACGAGCCTGCGGAACAGGCCGTCGAATTGCGCCAGCAGGCCGCTCCAGGTTGTTGCACCTGGTCCCAGGCCAGCTTCCAATGGCAGGCAGTCCAGGTAGCAGGCTATGTTGTAGAGGATTATGGGGAGACGCTCTGTTGGCAGCGATTTCTTCGCGTTTAGGGACTGAAATGGTCGTCAGAAAATTTCTGCGTCGATCATCGCATAAACACTTCACACATGCAGTCGTAATGATCAGTGTGCCTCAGAGCTCCTTGGAAAGTTATGGATGAAAATTTCTGTGTCGATCATCGAATAAATGCTTCACACATGCAGTCGTAATGATCCGTTTGCCTTAGAAAACTATGGATGAAAGTTTCTGCGTCGATCATCGCGTAAATACTTCACACATGCAGTCGTAATGATCAGTGTGCCTCAGAAAATCATGCATAAAAATTTCTATATCGATCGTCATACGACGTCATCCAGACAGTGAAATTGTAGAAATTTTCTCTTTACCTCGAGCAATAATTGCAGAGGAGCAATAGGATTTAACTCGTTGAAATCCACCAAAGCTTGAGTGACACTCTTGAAGAACTGCATTCTCGTGGACTCTACGAAGCAAAGGATTCATCTAGAACATCGTGAATTTCAAGGAGGAATCAGCATTGGTACAATCTTCTAACCATTTAGATGAGTTTGGAACATCTGTATGAAGACACCGTTAGGCGCCAGTTGATGGAGAACGCATCGAAGAAACTGGTGCGCCACGCTGATTGCGCCACCAGGCAGGTGCATATTGGTCTCACTCTGCCAAGGGTACATCGCGTTGAGGGCCACCCTGCACCGATCGAGACACATTATTAGGAGATTATTGCAAAACAAGCTGGTAAACGAAGATACTGACTTTGTCACGACACGTAGGATTTCTGGCAAGAGCGGTGCGGCCAAAGATGGCTCGCGATGGATGAACGTGCCCAGGTTGATGATGCACAGGCCAAGTTCCTCGTCTGAGTACTCTTCTTTTATCGTGCCACACTCTGAACACCTGTCACAGAATCGGACAATCGGATTACGTGTAAATTAAGATGGACAGATTTTTATCAACCAAGTTACCTCTCGTAAATGCAGTCGTCTCCTATGCGAAACAGACTCTGTTTCAAGCTGAAGTCGGCGTGATAGGCTTGCTGAGAGGCTACGTCGAAGTTGGGTTTCAATTGAGCACCAGACCTGAGATTAGAGAGAAAAATCGGTAGAGCGTCTTCTAGGAATCTTCGAAGAAATTGTTGAACGAGGTCTGATGTTACCAGGATTCGGTACGCCTCGGCAATGGACATTCTTGCCCAGCGATGCTGTCTTTCCGAGGCTTGTCCCTCTGAATACGAACGTGGTCCTTAGTCTTGACTCTTCTGTCAAGGTCGAAGATTCTCGAAGGATAATCCAAAGCTTCTATCGCCGGAGGAGGAGATTCCAGAGCTACTTGCTTGATGAGCCTCCTTGGGCTCGTTGATCTGCTCGAGTGCACTTCGTTCGACGTTGGAACCAAAGACGCTGACTGGAACATGGAAATTTAAGTCAAATAACGAATCTTTCGAGATTTCAAAATATTCTTACCAGGTTTTCCGACGTTGTGCTGTCCTGTTTTACCGGTAGTTGCCCGTCACTCTTCTCACCGAGTCTGTTGTCGTTGCTGTATTTATTCGAGTCTGAAATATTCGAAGAAACATCGATTACCAATGAGAAGTTCACTTGAAATTGCTTGTGGAATTGTACCTTCGATCTCGTGAACGCCCAAAGCCTGGCGAACGTGTTCCACCAGGCCACTGAAGTCTCTGTGGGGTCCAACAGGTAGCAGTCTCTCAGGCATGGGGAATTCCAGCTGAGAAATGCTTCTGGGACTCGTTATGTCACTGGACATGCACGTTTCGCTATCTTGATCGAAGGAGGAGCCTGAAGGAAAAATAACATTATCTGGACATTTCCAATTTTCTGTAACTCCAAGAAAATAACCAGAGAAAAATCAAAGAAAACTACTCACTGACTGTTAAAACGTCTATCTTGGACAAAGGCGACTCGGGAGACCCATAAGCGTCCTCGCATCGCAAGATTCTCTGAGCAGGTCGTGGACCTACGAAACCAACATCGAATAAATCCAAATTTAACGCGTATTTTTCGTAAATAACGAAGTTACTGTTTCCGAAAATGTTTACCAGCCACACGAGTGGTAGTACCAATTGGCAAAAGTCGTTCGACCGAGGGTAACGCGGTGATGTGATGAGGAGGTGGGTCGTTCCATCCAGTATGTTGGCCATTTTCCGTGCTCGTGACCTGAGACGAGATCGAGCTGACCGCTGGGGAACTCGATTGATCGCTGCTCGTCACTGTAACCACTTGACCTGGGGACATAGGCGAGGCTACAGTCACAGACTGCTCTATACGCTTCTGACGACCCAGTTGCTTGGAATTCGGCGAGTCTGAGTTGCTGGAACAAGCTGTGGGCGACTTCTCCTTTGGTAGCTCGTGTCTGTCGCACAATTACATTCGTGACTATCGACTCGTTGTAGAGGATAAAAGTTGTAGAATCGTAAGGAAAGATGGGTTACTTTTGGATTTGAGGTGGAATGGTAGTAGCAAGAGCACTGTACAATCCAAAAGGCTTGGAAGATGCGCTGTCGCCGTTGAAGGCTATTTGCACAGTGAGATTCCTCTCTTGAGCAGCTTTCTCTGGCGCAGGTTTCTCTGGAATCGCCTTTTCTAAGATTCCCTTCTCAGGCTTCTCTATCACCTTATCGATTCTGGACATCGGTGTGTACTTTTGTAGATCTGGTTGGCCGCTTAGTAGAGTGCTCGTTACCATCATCTTCACGCCCTCGTGGACGCTCCATTTCTTTTGTGGTCCAGTCTTTGTACTCTGAAAAAGTCGTTTCGAGAGATGAGAATCTTCGCTTCAATTTTAATTTAGGGAAAAAGAAATTCATCGACGTCCAAATTTTTCAAGTGGTTAACGATAATTTATTAACAAAAGTAAATGAAACAAAACTAAATGGTTCCACGCTATCAACTCAAAATCTCTTCTCTTCCAAACCTTACCCCATACTGACTCTCAGTCCACACTTCTGCTTTTTTAACGTTTAATAAACCCTCTCCATTTTCTCCCGAACATTCGCACTCCCTTTACGCACACCCCTTTTTTTCTCGTAACGTTTAAAACTAACTTAATCCTTTGACAGCTGCCAATTCGAGAAGCTCTGGCTGTGTACGACTAAGTTGTGACACTAATAGTCATACTACATATTTCGTTAGCCAAATCACCGTTTGCTCAATATTTCGTATGTTATATTAAATATAAGAAATAAAAT